AGCTTCTAAATCTGGACTGGGGGTATTCATTCTGGAGTCCTGGACCTATGAGAGTGTATGGAAGTCTTACAAGTATGTACAACATGTGGAGGGAATTGTTCAGCGTCAAGTATGTCAAGAGACTGGCAACATTCCTGAGCGGTCATCTTTCATGGGTTGCGAGGGAGGTATAGCCAGTGATCCAAGGTGCTCAAATAACTGTTTTTTCGCTGACCCTTAGCACTGGAAGGTCCCACTCGGCGTCGGATGTATGAGGCCTAGAAATAGTGAATGATTTGATTGTCCGCCCTATACAAACTAGTTGATTGCCCCCTTTTTCACGGCGTCCTGTTACTCTTCTCCTTCGCTCCATCGTCGGAAAAGTACTCGTTGACCTCGACATTTTCAAACTCGCACTCGTCATTCTGATCATCGCAACCATTTTCAGCACCATCGCCATCCTCGGTGTCAGTTACCATGAGGCATGAACGGCAAAAGCCCCTGACAGCCCGGCGCGCTGGTTTAAGATTTCGTGTGAATATGCGATTCCAGAACTCTCCCTATTCTCAATATTGTTGACGTGCCTCCTAGATGGGGTAATCAGTCTGAAAATCTCGGGATACAGACCATAGAATCTGCCTACTCTGTTTGTTGTCCACCCTCCTTCATTACTCCGGACCAAGGTTTGCCCCGTGTGCCTTCAGTTCGGCAACTATAGTGTCAGGCTCTGAGCTTTGTATGTCCTAGAGCCGATATTCCCGGACGGCACAGAATAATGGTGCCCAGTCACCACAGCCACCTTTTTCAGATCCTTTCTTCCCGCGAGGATATACCTGGTCCCATCAAGACAGCCATTTGCAACGGCTAAGTGCAGAGCATTCCGCACATGAAATCTTAAATGGAGAGCTCTGCCGTGAGAACACAGATATTTGATCAACTCAAGTGTGCGATAATGAGCAAAGTGAATCGGCCTCCGTATTCGTTTGCTACATCGAGTGTTGCGCTCCCCTAGTCAACTGAACAGTTATTAGTAGATGAAATTATCACTCTCCCAAGAAGAATACGCGTACAACATTAAACTGTTTTTCAGCAGGGTATGGAACGGTACAACTATCAAGGACTACAAACGTTCCTACTGTTTGTCAAAGATTCTTCTATATATATGTATTCATACGTATTTGAAGCCCTTCTGGACCAATATGTAATCGGACTTGATATGTACACAACTTAATCCAAGAGTGATAAAAGAGCAAGCCATTGGCTTGGCAAAGATTAAGACCAAAAGCCGTCTTTTACCGGCGATACAAGCAAAACATGAACCTCAACTACGGGATCTCGGCAGTGGGTACTTTCTCCGCGCTAGGCTCATCCTTCTCATCAACCTCGTCCGAAGTCCACATAGATTCGCGCATGAACGGACTACGATGACGAATTTGAGGGCCCTTTAGCACCAAAACGACAGGGACAACGGACAGCGCGATACCGATAAAGCCCAACAAGGAACCGGCCCATCCGAAGCCGAGATTCGAGAACAGCTGAGGCGAGGCCAAGGGCAAGAAAGCACCGAATGAGTTACGACCCAACGAAGCAGCCGACAGAGCTGAGGCGGCATATTTTTCGTATGCGTCGGTGAGGTAGTTGACCACGGCCATGTAGATGGAGTAGATACCAATACCGGCGGCTGTGATGCCGATGGTGGGCACAATCCAATGCACGTCGGGCATACTGGCCCAGCCATACCAGAACAGACCGCCTGCGAAGAGCAAGCTACCGGGAATAGCGGTGTAGAGACGAGCCTCGGGGATGGGCTTCCCGGGCTTTTCGGAGTTGCGTTTGGCTGAACTCTGATAGATCCAGTCCTGGAGAGGGTTGATGGCTGTGCCGATGACGGCACCCACGGAGATAGCGAGCTGGACGAGACCGGTGGCCATAATGCCCCAGCCATAGTTGGTGCTGTAGGTTTGGACCACACTGGAGAAGAATAGATACAAGATACCCCAGGCAAAGCTGATCCAGAGTGTGAAGAAGATGACGACAGGCTCAGTTAAGAGCATGCGCGTAGGACGTTGGAAGGAGATCTGCAGGAGTTTGAGAGTGCTGACCTTGTCAAGCTCCGCTTGGGCATACACAGGTCGGCCGGTTTCCTTCCGGATCTTTCGGGCCCGTTTCTTCAAGATCACATCTGGGCGGGTTTCGCTGAGGATGAGGTAAAATACGGGAATAAGGGCGGCATTATAGATAATCTGAATGTAGAAGATCCTGCATATTTTCATGCACTGTCAGAGAGGGGTGTTGGTACATGAGGATAACGGATAGCTTACCAACGCCAGGGGTCAGACTTGTGGATCTGCACAATGGCCGAACCGATGAAGGGGCCAAGTGCGATACCTACAACACTGGTGAAGCCGAACAATGACATAGGCAGACTGCGAGCCTTCTCGCCCAACCAAACGTCACTGATGCTTCCTCCGACGATGTTGATGGAGACCGATGAGGCACCACCACCAAAGAAACGGGTGACAACCAGCGTGGCGAAGTTGTTCGCGAATGCTGACGGGAATAGAGAAATCACCAGGATCACATAGGCCACAAAATACCCAGGCATGCGGCCAGAAGACTCAGTGAGAGGCACAAAAATCAACGGCCAGAAGGCAGCGCCCATATTCCAGGACGTCGTAGCCCAGTACAGGTTGGGAAAGGGGGAGTTCTGGACATGGAACTTCTCTTCCATCCAGTCATTTCCAGAGCCATATGTTCCTGCCGGAAGTCCAGTCAAGATGGAGCTATTTGAAGGTGTCAGCGAACAATTAAAGGGAAGGGGTGTAGGTGTCTTACATAAAGCAGACGGTGACCGTTAGGAGCCATTTGTACTTGAGACTCCAGTTGAACCTGAGAAGGGTCAGTAAATACAAATGCAACTATCTTGATAGACAGCATGATTACACACGGGTTCTCAGGATCATTTGGACCGTTCCAAGTGTGGATTTCGATATCCTTGCTGTTACGCAATTCCTCGGGATCGACATTGTTGTTATCAAAGCCAAAGAAGCCCTTCAGCCTAGGAGGGTGTCAGCCCGACCGTGATAAAACTCACAGCAAACGTTAGGGTCCTAACCTGTCCAGAAAAGAATGGCTGGACTGACTTTGCGGGGCGTTGTTGGCGGGTTGATCGGCCATTGTGAGAGGCAGTCAACAGAAGGGCGCTGGCGTCAGTGGATTTCGAACCAATTTGACCGTCTCATGAAAGGGGAATAGAAAAGGAACAGGAAACTGCACCCCCGAAATCTACATTTGAAGACCTGAAATCTCGTTCAATCGAGAAAGTTAGTTCCGGGGGTTCCTAGACTGGACCCCCGAGGATTCTGATTCGGCATGCCGAACAGACAAGTAAAAAGCATGAGAGCCGACCGGGAATTTCGTCATTATGGAGTACGGAACCCTCGGCCACTTCGATGGCAAATCCATTCTTGGGGCCGGTGAAGAGCTTCTGGCTTTGTGACAGGCCAAAGCGCTGGAAGACCCACGGGTATAGCTCCACGATGCCGTGGGTGGAGTACGACTAATGCAACGTTCTCGATGCGTCTGCTAATCTGCTAACTCCTGCAGTGCTTTTCAGAATTTGACTCAATCCGTCCAGGGAACTTCACTTCAGCACTGGGAGCGTATTCGTGGAAACCATAGTGAACTTCAGTAATCAACCACTGGAACAAGCTGAGTTTCCAACTGGCTCTTTTATCCGTACGGTTGGTCTATGACGAACCACATCTGCTACTGGCTTTGATGTAGACAATCTGTTCATCTGGTTGCATTTCCACTTTTCCGCCCCTTTTCTTTTTGCATTGGAGAATGCTTTGTTGGAATTACGGATGAACGATATTGATCGCTCGGTGAGCTAGTGCATGGTTTATAGATTAATCCACCCACCACTCTAGGGTCGCAGCCCTCTCTACACAGTAGATGGCAGCATGCCTATCCCTTTTCACAGTGGACTTCCTCATCTTTCACACAATCGACGTAAATCTCACACTCCCATTCATGGTACCGCCGAAGATCTTCCGTCATCGTTGCGATGTGGCAAATCGAACGGCAAACTCTAAAGCCCCAAAGCCCTAACTCGGAATATCCTCACTTTTGTGATTTCTTGCTTTTCCCCGTCTTTTTCTCTTAATTACTTGCAGCAATTCCACCTCCCTATGGTAAACTAGGCGACCGAAAAATTCACGAAATCTTTCTTATGGTGCCTGGCTATTTTCCCACTAGGATTATTCTAAATTGGATAGACGACTGAAGTGGGCCCTTGCACGGATTTAATTTGCATGGACCGCCCCACACCTGGCTTGCTTATGCCTTGAAGAAAATGGGTACTACTGTGTCCAGTGGGCTTTTAGGATATCGATTATTAATTGAGGAAAGCACTGTGCAGGGGTTTTTTTTTTTTTTTTTTTTTTTTTTTTTTTTTTTTTTTTTTTTTTTTTTTTTTTTTTTTTTTTTTTTTTTTTCTTTTCTCTTTTCTTGTTCGGAGCGGTAGCCAGCGAACTGTTCACTGCTATTCTGAGGTAGCGTCCACGCGAGTGTGAATCTGATGCGAAGATGGCCAACCCAATGTATGGAAGAACTAAGAACAAGCTATACACAGTCGTCGAGTTCCTAATATTGTTGTAGATTACATTTTTCAGAATATGAAAAAGAAACACAAAAGTCATCAGTCGCCTGTACCATGAGGCACATGTGTCGAAGGGTTGAGCCATGGCATCAGCTAGCTCAATATGGGAAAAGACAATAGCTGATAGAGATTGGAAACCATGATTAGGATAAATTTGCGGTTCCGTAAACATCTAACGGCTCGACATCGTGGGAACGTGGAGCCAAGCTTCTTTGGTACAACACTATCAAAGGCATAAATATGTTGAAGGAATCATAGAATGGACAGTTCACTGTTTCTGGGATAAGTAGTCTAGTCTTTGACTATACTATCTATCGCGTCTAGAGTAACTATGATCAGAGAGCTTGAATATAAAACGGTTCGCTTAAAATATATATCTCAAAACGTATCACGCCATCGTATGTGGTATAGATAGTTTCCTTAGTTAAGAATCCATCCTGCACCATGCAATCAACACTCCCACAATTTCACTTATTCCACATGTTCTACCATAAGGTCATTGTCTTTCCTAGTCTTGATTTCACCAATCTTTCTCATCTCATGGTCTTCATGCTCGATGTACTTCAGCGGGCGTTTAACGGAGATGGCATCCGGGTCCTTGACAACGATCAACGACGGGTTGGAACGGTAGTATGCGTCGATGTCTTCCAAGGTACGGTTGGCTAGAACGACATCAAGGTCAGTATACCTTTGAGGAGAATAAAAATAGAGACAACGCACCCGTTTCAGGATAGAAGAAATAGATGACTGGCAAAAAGGCAGCGTTGAACACTGTCCAGACGATCCAAAATTTCCAACCGATGTTTTGAATACCAATCGGAGTGATTTCCACGATGACAAAGTTCGTAAGCCTAAGTCAATCAGCATGATCGCTAGTACAGTTTATATGGGCAAGAAGGTTACCAATTTGTCGCCGTCGCCACAGCAGCTCCCTTGTTCCGCATTTGGAGGGAGTTGAGCTCCGTAGGATAAAGCCAAGGGATCTCGAGCATACCAAGACCAAAGAAAATGTAGAAAAGGAAAAAGAACACAATAGAGGCGGAGCCGAATTTCTGTCCTTGGGGCGTATTAGCATTGGCCTCCGCATAGCGCAGCAGGATCGTGATGATCAGAAAAGCAAAGAACTGGCCGGCGGTGGACAGCATCATCAGGCCGCGGCGTCCCATCCTCTCAATCAACCCTACTGCACAGCAGGTGCAAATCAGATAGGTGACTGAATTGACTGCCGTAAGCAGCCGTGCCATCGAGTCAGAAAGCCCGACGAACTGCATAAGAACAGTGGGCAGATAATAGTACATTATATTCACGCCTTCGAATTGTTGCATGAACTGTGTACCGGCGCCAAGGATCAGTCGTCGCAAGGTTTTGGAGTCTGTGCTGTCGGTCTTTCTGCGTCGAAAAATGTCGCGCCATCGGATGGCATTTTCTCGCTCGTAGTTGATCGTATATTCGATTTCATTTTTCTGTGCCACAACGTAAGGGTCGTCGACGGGCTTGTCTTAAATGCAGGAAATGATTTCGATGGCTTCCTTTTCGTATCCTTTTTGCATAAGCCATCTGCGTTTAGGGTGGCATAGAGAGTGAATGACCCAAGACATATTTGGAAACCTGGACAAGAAACAGTGTAGAAAACGCACCTCGGGGACTCGGGAAGCCATGGGACGGTTGCAAACAGAACGAAGATAAACATGAACTGGAAAGCGATCGGAAACCGCCAGGCCACGGCACCACCGGCAAAGGAAAGCCCGTAGTTGATCCAGTTGACCATGGAGAAGCCAAGGATGTTCATGACCATTTCCAGGAAAACAAGCTTTCCTCTCCATTTGGGAGAAGAAGTCTCTGTTTGCCAGATTGGCGCTGTTGATGTGTTGATACCATTTCCGAAACTGTTCTCAACTCAGCTATGAAGAGGAAATAGGAGCAAGAAACCACTCATTGGAAAAACATACCCGAGAATGACTCGACCGACGAATATCTGTGGAAGACTGTACGACGTGCACTTGAGCAGGGTGCCGATCGCTATAAGGGTGGTTCCTAGCAAGATTGACTTCTTCCAACCGAGGCGCTCGCCAATGCTGAAGGCCACGAGTGCACCGAAGAAACACCCAACGTCGTAGATGGCGGTTACAGTGGAGAGCGTCGTAGTCTTTGAGCGTCCCACCAGGTCGTGAACTACCAGAAAGTCTTCCGTAACCACAACACCACCTTAGGAGGATATCGGTCAGTATCATACGCAGACCCCTTGAGGGTCAGGGGTTCGGATAAGCATACTAAAAAGACCTTGGTCGTATCCAAACAAACTCATATCGGTGGCACAGGCAACCTGCTCAGTAAAACAAGGAGTCAGTCACATATCGAAAACAGGAGTTCGACAGACAGGGAGCTCACAGTAATCCAGAACGTTAGCCACCCCCCTTTCAAACCAAAGTAGGGTTTCTTCTGTGAGTCCTTTAAGAACGCCATTGCGAGGAAAATAAAAGATAATCTGAATATACAAACTCAAGAAAGATAGAAGAACACTCCTACTCACCCCTGTGGTGCATAGAGTGAGACAGATCGAAAACTGCTCTTTAGGCAGGCTGGAGAAGACACTCAGGGTTGCAACCGATATACATACATTTTTATATGCGATGCTCGGCCCGATGCTAACATCGCTGAAATCGGTAACGCCAAATCAACGCTCCACGACGTCGTGCGACACTTGCGGGGTAAACGCATTCCCGATGATGAGGTGGAGTCTGGGGAGCCGCAGCGCAACTCTCGGTCAAGACGCAGGCTTTGGCGGCGTCTTCCACGACGCCCCATCCAGCTATCCAGATCCACTTCCCAAACAGGAAATTTAGGAGTGACCAGTCTGAACCAAGTCGCCATGTCGTCATGCCAGGCCGATAGTTCAAAGGTAAGGTTTACTATTATGCACGATGTTGGAAGGATCTACGAGGAATCGCTCTGGAGAGAGAAACAAGAGTATGTTGTCCGAGGTGATCAATGTAGAGTTGCATTTCACTTCTACAAGTCCAACCCGGAAAGAAAGACGAGCAAGAAGATAATTCATTAAAACTGCATAAAACATAATCTAACTAACAAAGAAGAGAATGAAGACCTCAAGGCAAAGTGTATCCACCGTCAATGACAATATTGGCTCCAGTCATATAGCAGCAGGCATCGCTAGCCAGGAAGACGTATGCCTAGGAACAAGGATCAGTTATATAAGCTTAAATCCACGCGGTATACGCAACTTACACCTTTCAACTCGGCTGGGTCGCCAATCCGGCGGCCAGGGACCATGTTGAGCCACTGTTCGAATAATTCCTTTGGCTGCTGGGTGAGCACTATTGACGCCATCATCCGTTAGCCTTCTTACCAAAGTGTACCTTTCCTGGGTGGGGATGGACTCACTTTTAGTCATAATGAATCCAGGCGAGATACAGTTCACCCGCGCAAAATCAGTCCATTCGACAGCGAGGCTCTTGGCCAAATGCACCGCTGCCGCCTTAGAGGCATTGTATGCGACTTGTGTCTGAGGAATATTGACCAGGATGGAGCTGACGGAGGCAGTGATGACGAGGTTGCCCCTGCCCTGCTTTTTGAAAATCTTTCCTGCCGCCTGGGCCGTCCACATAACTCCATCGTAGTTAACGAGGTTGGTGTGTACCCGGGGGTTGGTTGTCAAGGGGTCTATTCGGTATTTAACAGGTTGTTATCCCGCGGCGATTGACTTGATTGGAAAAGGTATTATTGATGTTAAGAGGCTGGTTACGAACCGGTTCAAATTCGAGGAGGCGGAACAGGCGTTTGAGTTGGTCAAGGCAGGAAGACAGGATGTTTTCAAGGTTATGATTGCGGGTGTTGTATAGAGAATCAGGATATCATTAGACATATTTAACGATAATACAGCGAAATAGCTAATTATTACTCTAACCACGCGTCTAGAGCACCTTTGAGAGCGCTACTCAGCCAGCCTTCTGCCAAAGGCACGTCCACATCAAATCCATGCCCACCAGGTTGCAAAGAAAGAACTAGCTTATCAATACCTTGCCGTCCCCTCAACACCTCTCTCGCCTTATCCACAAACCGCTCACTCACTTTCGAAAGGACATCGTCATCCTCAATGCCGTGAAGTATCACTAAGCCACCACGGGGCAGCCTCGTGTCTGGTAGATCCAATCGTGCAAGCTGGGAGAGTCGATTCCGACGAGGTGATGTCTCGGAGTCCCGGAGGTAAAACCCGCGGCTTCTTCTGTGCTGCGAAAGTGCCGAGCCAAGAGTCGCACGTCGAAGTTCCGGATCGGAAGATACAACATCTCCTGGTTTGATGTTCGCAATATACTCTTCTATCACAGACTCCGGGACATAAGGTGAAAGCGAACTTCTCTGTGGAGGGTAGAGAGGTGGGTCATCCCAACTGAGCTGGGGATACGTGGCTGTTCCTGCGCGAAGCTGGTCGGGGTAGGACAGTGTCAAGTAGATACTGAGTAGCCCGCCTGCCGAGTCTCCTGCGGCGAGAACCCGGTTCAGATCTAGCTCAATGGGCGAATCTTGGGCCGCTAATAAGTCCTTCGATTTGTCTGAATGTAGCCATGACCAGAAGTCATCCACATCCTCTAAAATTTCGAGACCCGTGGCTTCGGGGAGGAGACGGTAGTTTGCTGAAACAATTATGGCGTTGTATGTTACTGAGAGTTCTAGCAGCCACCTTGGGAACCAGTCTGCGTAAAGGGAATCGGCGCAGCTCTGTCACTAATCGTTAGCAGAAGAGTATCAGGGGGAACCAGATGGGATCACTCACCAGTCCACCGCCATGAAACCGAGCAATTACCGGTCTGGGTCCTCTGGCGGATAGGGACTTTGGGACCAGGACATCGGCTCGAATATCATGCCCGTGCACCTGTTTGTACGTCGCTTGAATCACGTTGAAATCTGCGAACTTCTCTCCAAAGGTCGCACCTGTTATCGCGGCCATAGTGTTTTCTACTTGAATGACGATGCAATGGGGCCAAAATACTTTATTTGAATGATGAAGCAATACCAAAGAAAATGATTATGATGGATGCAACACCTAGATTCAAGAACCAAGACGGCTACTTATACATGCAATGTGGCTCCATGGCTCTCTATTATGTGAGTCATTCTAGTTCAAACATTCCTAGCATCGTGGTATGATAACTTCAGGTGCCATTGGCTGTAATACACATTTGATATCGGTTGTCTGTGTTTGTCAGAGAGCCTCATTCGCTCGCAGTTGGTGTTTAGACAGAAAACCGAGTTTGCAATGTTTGGAACAGCGGCCCGGAGATGAGTGGTTCTGTTTGCTCATTCACCAAACATGGGCAGTCCTGCTCCTCATTGGGTTGAAATGGCACAATGGCAGGTTTGCTATGTTTGGCATTCTGTCAAAACAGACCCTTCGGTTCCACTTAATTAAGGCAACGACGGAGACCATCTGCCCTTAGATGAATATTTCACATGGTCCTTAGGCATAGTCATCCACCAAGAGGGAAATTACTCCATTCGAAACCATCACACCAACACCGTGCTATTAATTCATCCAGCACATGGCAAGCTATGCCTCGGTTCTGAGATCGAGACCCCAGAGCCCAGACCAGGCGGGGAAAGCTGATCTGCGGGGTTTTCCTGGTAGAAACCTATAGTTACTGGTTCTATCAGCTTGGATCACTCTTGGCCACTTAATACGAAATAGTATCAGTCGTCTCCGCCAGTACCTTTTCGTTAAAGGGGTATATAAGGCCCCAAGGTTAAACTGTAAAGTCCGGAAGGAAGGTCTTGCAAGATCACACCTAAACCCTAACTTGCTCCTTCGCAAAGTGTATTTCAAGCTGTTGATCATTTTGAAGGCTACACATAGCAAGGAGACAAGAGACACATACTGAGAATAAGGACTTGTTCCAGAACGTGGATGATAAATCGAGATGAAATCTCCTGCAAAATTTGTGTACAGTATTACGTACCAGCTTCAAAAGTGGCTGCTGCCAATTCGGAGGGCGCCGACAGAGCAATATAATCAGGCTATTGCCAGGAAAAGTGCCCGCGTGCCAAGCAATCTATCTCAAATCAATAGTAGTTACATATAGCTCGAGTCTTCTTGTGCTTCATCATGTCTCAGCATTGACTAACTCCCAACCAGAAAGAGTTGATCACAATGCCAGTTCAAAAGTACGACGCCATCGGCGATTCCTACAATGACGTTCCCGAGATTGCCACAGGCAAACTGCAACTCGCCGCCATGCAATCCCTCATCGGAGACGTCAAGGGCCTCACCATCCTCGAGCTCGCCTGTGGTCCGGGCTTCTACTGCCGAAAGGCCATCGAATGGGGTGCCCACCATGCCACCGGCGTAGACATATCGCCAGCGATGGTCGAAGCAGCACGCGCCTGCGCAAAGGGGGACAAGCGAATGGAATTCCACCTCGCCGACTGCAGCCAGCCATTCAACTTCGGGCAGTTCGACGTCGTCCTCGCGCCATGGTTACTCAACTACGCCCGAAACGAGAAGGAGCTTATTGGCATGTGGCGCAACATCTACAACAGCCTGAAGCCCGGGGGGAAGATCATTGGGATGAGTCCGAACCTTGATTTACTGGACGATCCTTCGGGGTTTCCTCCGGGGCCATATTTCGGGCAGGGATTCAAGGTCGTGGGTGAGATCGAGGACGGAGGGTTGGAGGTTCGGGCCACGTTGTATACGCCGACGCCTTTCTCTTTCACTAATTATTACTTGCCGAGTGTGCTGTATCAGAAATCTTGTCTGTTGGCGGGTCTGCGTGATTTTCGGTGGACATCTTATCCTGATGCTCTCCTGGGGGATGTGGACTGGGATGCCTTTTTGCGGTGTCCTCCTTTCATGACCTTTACGGCGGTGCGTCCTTTGGATGTATTGAAGTGAGGTAGTCAACTGGCTTTTCACTGGGGGAGGGAGGCCCATGGTATCTAGTAGACGTACTACTGAGTGTAATTGTCATTATCATAAGAGAAGAATCCTCAAATAAAATCCCAGGGATTTGTAATGTTTGTGGAGTCTGCCGCGAAACATATTACAATGAACAAATATACAAACCTCAACGCCGAAGAAGAGAATTGAATCCCGAGTATCAACTCCGCGATAAAGAAGTGGGGTCGACCTCGGCTTCTAATCATACGGTCAGCAACTAACCGAGAAACCTCACTTCTTCTCTGTACGTACACGAAGCAGTAGCAGTCCGAACAATTCATTGTAAAAAGGAAAACGGAACCAAGATCACCAAAATGGCCGCGCCAGCTCTCCCTTCCGCGCCTCCAGTGTCTCTGGGCCAAAACATTGTCCTCCAGCCCCCACTTTCGCGATGCGGGCGTGGACCCGGTCTAATAATCATCCGCCCGTCTGGCTATGCAGGGTGTCAAGCAAAGAATACCAGTCTGGACCCGGAGCCCGTGCAGAAGTGGGCAGAGGAGAGCTATGCGGTGGTGCAGATTACTTTGGATCATGAGGCGAGCGCAGACGAGAGCGGTGTTTCAGCACTTGTGAAGCGAGGCATTGAAGCGTTTGAGTCATCGGATGAGTGTGAGAAAGGAGATAGGTTTGCCACATTGGGTATTAAATAGTCTATTACTTTACGATGAGTGCACGCTGATCGCATATAGTCTACGGTTCTCCCGCCGATTATGCGCCTGGGTTCGGAAAGATCCTGGGCAATGTCATCGCAGCTTTAAATAAGAAGCTTGCGGCCGGAGTGCTCTTCAGCTCCTGGGATATAACTGAGGAATCGATTCCTATCCTCTCACACATTCCTGGGAACGTCCAAGCCCCGGGCCTTGAAAAGAAGGATAATCACACTGTTTACTCATATGTGGATGTTGCTTCCGCCGGGTTCATCGTCCCGGGGCATGCTGACTTCAAAATCACGTCTGCCGGCGTCGCGCACACGCGATCCCTGACCTTCCTGAAGAAACAGCTGGACGGGCCGTACTTCGATCTGGAGAAGATCTGGGACGAGCACACGTGGTACGAATTCGGAGATCGGTCCGTGGAAAAGACCATGGCGACGATGGTGCAGGAGCCGTATGTCAACCACATCCCGACTGTGAGTATCACCTTGTCATGCACATGGTCGTGCCCTCAGACTGACTCGACAAGATGACGGGCGGAATCGGACGAGCACGTCTGAGCAAATTCTACCTGGAGAATTTCATTTTCAACAACCCAAGCGACACCGCACTGGAACTCATCAGCCGAACGGTCGGCACCGACCGGATCGTCGACGAGTTCATCTTCAGCTTGACACACAATAAAGAGGTCGACTGGTTGTGAGTAGAAAGACTATACCTTAGTACCTACCTTCCCATCGTGCCGCTCGGGTCGATGGCGTTATCCCCGTTATAGCTAACGTGATCAGAATCCCCGGTATCCCACCAACTGGCAAGGCGCTCCGTATCCCATTCACCTCCGTTGTGAACATTCGCGGAGATCGTTTATATCACGAGCATATCGCGTGGGATCAGGCGACAGTTCTCGTGCAGCTGGGTCTGATGCCGGAATACCTGCCTTTCCCATATGCCCTTCCTGGCGGACAGTTGCCTGGGCCCGGAAAGAGGTTCGAGTATCGTGTGCCTGCTGCCGGAGTCGAGACGGCGATGAAGTTGCAAGATGAGCACGCAGTGCCGTCGAACGGGATGTTTGAGTTTAAGGTGCGCGAGGTGGACGATAAATGATGTGATGATGGCGTGATGCAACAAAGGGAAGTCGTGTAGATACCACGAGGCAATTCGAACAAGGCATGGAGAGGCCAAAGCACACATCGGAGAATGTCCTAAAAGGTATGTGATGTGTGAATTTGAATGGAGGGACTGCCCATCTGCCCTTGGTTGCTCAGGCCGCTGAAAGGGCGGAACAGAAAGGAAGAGCTGTCGAGTTAAGCATCAGTCCCAGCGAATAGTACGCTAGATTCACTCCACATGCATAAGATAGTCATTTCTCGATGTCAGAACTATGAGTAACGGTCCGCGCCTGCGTTTGTCTTCTTCCATATCTCTGGGTGGGGTGAATCGACACGCTTCGAGTATATCCTAAGGCATCTCTAGCCCTAAGCAACAAGGCAGCAGCGAAAAGAAAATTAAGGCTTGAAATAAGAAACCCAAGATTCCACTATAGTGGAGAACAATTGCCGGTTGCCTGGAGGAGGACCGGCCGATATTCTTAGGCAACAGTGTTATATTCAGTGGACCATTGGCCTTACAAGGATCAAGAGCAATGTCCCACGATCCACCTTTATTGCCTTATTCAGAGTCTGCAGGATAGGCAGCCCTAGGGCATCTATGCGGGGGTCAATACACAAAGTAGCGACTTTGAGACCCACCCTCGCGAGGTTACTTCCATAACCAGTATAGGTAGAAGACCAACGAAGACCCGAGGAAATCAGGCCGTTATTCATAGACCACGTGCATCCGGAATGGTACAGCAGCAGAGTGGGTGAAAGTACGTGTAGTCCCTCCGCTACACCTATGAGAGCTTTCTCTGCCTAAGCCTATAGAGACTGAGGAGATTTGATCAACATCTGTTTGTCCGCAACAGCCGGAGGCTGCATGAGTGGAGAAGCCCTGGCGTTGGTTGTTGGCTACCACATAGGGGTATGGCAGGTCATTCCATAGAAAATGACCGCACGACCCCCACGGAAGGAAGCAACAAATAAGCTTGACGTTCTAACGTCCAACTGGAGGGTTTAGCACAGTAAAACCCTAGATGGTCACACGGGGAATTCCAGTGTTGCAGCGGATAAGGGCGGATCGCACGCTATTTGTAAAAGAAAACTCTTATTTCAGGCCCAGATTCAATGTGGCGCTTGAGCCATTCATGCCAGGTGAAACCCAGTCAGTCAATGGCTCCCCGTGAGCTTGGCTTCGGTGACAGCAGACCATGAGGAGCACTTCTATCCTAAATTCAAACCATGTGGGATTTCGTAGAAAAACAAGGCCAGCAAGTGGAGCGCACGCATTATGTTCCGGAAGATGTCTCAGAAGTCTATGATGGTTCGGAGCGTCCGAACAACACAAACAGTGGTTCTGGGTGGATCGTAGTTTCAGAAGAGAGTAAGCTAGAAAAAGGCAGACGATGAAAATCAAAAATCCAAAGTTGAGGATCCAATGTCTACGGATCCGGAGAATGTGACGCTGTAGGCAGACATAATACCAAAAGTAGGGTTTGGTGAGGCTCGAGTCGGGGACGTTCTTCAGTCTCGAGAACCACGGTAAGGACACTCCGAAGAAGTCCCAATCACAACGGCCAGTAAGACAAAGAAGGGACAAATACGGGTCACTTATTAAACTTGGTTGCTAAGCTTTTGGCCTTACTGTTATTGGAGCAGTTAATCCCTCAAACTGCCTCGAGGCCAATGGTGTTGATGCACTGCCTCAAAAATGGCTCCACTTTGGTGTCTGGGCCAAATTTAGCTGTTGCAATGCAGTGGTCATTGTTTCTCGCCCATCGTGCTCGACCTTCCGAAGGGCCTACAATTCAGCGGAGAGCCCAGCATATGTCTCCTGCCAATATCCTCGGGGATATGCAAGGATACTGGTGGATATGCGCTCGGGATACGTCGGCTATGTAGTGAAATGGGAAGAAGAATACAACAGACGAGTGGCGCAATCAGAGGCCAACATTGATCAGTTCCGCGGCCGGCTATCATTACCTCTTCAAGCCCCTGAAAAGAAGCTTGCCGTGGGGCATCGTTTTGGACCCTGAGCCAACGAGAGGCACAGCCAATTGCTGATCCTGCGACAGCTGACCATATTCCCCTATCAGCTTGGATTCTAGGTTCTCTTGCATTTACGGGCAACCGGCTTTGCATGACATGTCTTCCGCTCAAAGGATGATCGCCAAACTCTCCCGTATCTCAGCGTAGATTTGTTTCCTAGATGAGGCTCCCGAGAGGAAATCACAATGCAAATTGCACCAAATCGGCTAAGTAAGATGATCAGCACTTCGGTATGTAGTCAGTCTCATGGTGAGACGGGCTAAGGCGCTACTCAGAAGAATTTTTTGGTCTTTTTTTAGCCCGGTACTCAGCCTTCGATATCTGAACGCGATCGATCCATGCCCAGGACATCTTCGACCCACGAGTCTCCCACTGCCCAATCATATTGTACACCACTCCCTAATCTTCATTGGTTTGTCTATGAGGGTCCATTCGTTGCCAAAGGTGTCAGTTCGCGATCGTCCAGTGTTGGCAATCGGATGTTCCCCAGATGCCTAGAGTGAGTCAAGGTTCTAAACCTAATGTATTAATAAATGCATGTAAGCCTTATTGACCCCTCTTGCCTTTATATAATCCCCGCTGACTCCCGTTTTTCTTCCTTTCCCTCGACGGTTGCCACTTCTGTACCAACTGTCGCCCAGTTACAGAAGTAAATTAGCCGCACCTGGTCACGCTTTCATCTGAACCCTTAACTGCCACCTTCAATCTTGAACCTTTACTACTACACTCATTCCGACATCCACCACAACGCCCTCCACCATGTTGCTGCGTTTCCTGTCTGTGACAGGCGCGCTCTTTCTGAGCAGCTGTGCTGCGTTGTCTCTGCCAGAGCATAAGGTCGAACTGTCCGGGCTGGATCCCGAGTTTCGAAGCCGAATCATCTCCAACGCCCGTCCAACCAATGTGCCGACCGCTCTTTGTTCATTCTCAAATGCCGAGTGTTCAAAAGATATCGACCTTCATTCCCATCTGGTGAGTTTGGACTTACGAAACCAGTACTAGGATGAGAGCCCCGTCGCTAACTCAGACAGACCCTGGACTTCTCTACGGAAAATGGCACCCTCCTCGCCAACCATGACCCCATCTTCCCACCAACTTTCCCAATGCGATTCCATGCAGTCCGGCATTTCCATTCAGGCCGAGAGACCGTCGACCTGGCCTATGAACTCGATGTCCGACCCATGCCGTCACGCCCGGACGAGGCACTCGGGGGCGTCTTCCTGTTGAAACTCAGACTGTTCGACCTACAAGGGCGGCCCGCCTCCGATCACCTCGTCACGATCACAGTGACCCAAGACTCGGAGGGAAATCTCCAAATCACTCAACTCGAAACCAACCCCATCCACGGTCACCACCATCCCGACGGACCGCCATCATGGATGGCCCAATTAACCGCTAGCATTCAGGCAATGAAGGACGCCGTCAAGGACTGCATGCACGGGCCAGGACCGAAGCATGCGACCGCGCGGCCGCAGCATGGCCACATGCAGCAGCCTCCAGTCGACAAGCACCGCACAATCGCTCCAGAGCATCACCCCTATCACCACAGGCCCGGCTACTGGGCCGGCCGGGAGAAGAACTTCGGGAGACTGATGCGTCCGGTCGTGATGCCCGCCCTGCTGGGCGTAGTGGCGGGCGTGGTAGCGTGCATGGTTGGATTCGTGATGGGCAAAATCATCATCTCAGTGTTCTACTGTGTTCGGGGTTGCAGGAAGCAGAAGAAGCAGCGGGAGCAGGAGCAGTCGAGCATCCCTCGGATAGTGGTGGTGGAAAGCGCCTCCAGTGAAAAGGAGCGCTTACTGGCGATGTGCGATGATCGTTGTTGACCCTACATGATACAATGTCTTTACAATCTTTTTTGTCTTTTCATGTGTTGTTTCTTTTCTCTATATACCCAATGTAACATACCAAGAATTTTCATGACCACTTTTCCGAACTTAACCCTCGAACGTAGACCTGTTAAGGTCTCGCTCTGTCAACAATCAAGGCCGGCTGGCCCAATGGCAAGGCGCTTGACTACGAATCAAGAGATTGCAGGTTCGATCCCTGCGTCGGTCAATTTTTTGTGTTTTGCGCCTGTTGGCGAGTGATTGTGGTGCTGTGAAAAGTTCTTCACCTGGGTGGCTCCACTATCCGAATCAGCCTTACAGCCGAGTGTGGATCCGTATCTATTTTAAGCATTGTCCGGCCGTTAAGGCGTTATTGATCTTTTCAATATATTTTTTTTGGCAGCAGGTATAGTTTGACTTATGATTAGACTAGTCTTCATATCATGTTCTGGTTGTGGTAGACCGCTGGTGACAAGCCTGCCGGGGGTAGTGTATATTATACGACCTGACCAGAAACTGTATTCGAGTAAAATCAATAGAGATCAATACAATATATACTATGTAGACAACACTGCTTATATGCTTGTAGATATCGTTTTCTCCGCGTCTTTCTGTATTTGATAAATGTTGCAGTTCTTATACACTGAGCAAGGGAGCAGGACGAACCGTCGGGTGTTATTGTATGAGCACATCCAAACTGCAAGAAAGCAGCGTTAGAATCTTACTTTCGAGTCTGGCCATCTTGATTAGCGGGGGGTACCATACCCAGCTGTATCTTACATGAGTTTCTAGGTAAAGGTGAGTCAGTTGCAAGTGAAGTATTATCATGTCTTATTTTGAACCTGAATTGTTGAGATCCCTGTTGTACATGGATTTGATCAAGCCAAAGGACCTTAAGGCCCTGGTAGTTCACATCACCATACATGTGTCCAGCCCAAAAGGATCACTATTTTGCTCCATTTTACTCCCCTCCTTGTACAAATCGTCCCAGTAAATATAGTCCTTAAAGCCCAATCTCAGGTTCTGGAACGCATCAGCCATTACCTGCATGCACTCTTCATCCTCTTGCTCCAGGACCAGCGCAGTGAGCGACAATATTTTCTCGCGTGTCATAGCCGTGTTCCCCTCATAGGCCTGGACCCATAGTGGGTTCCGACGACTCTTTAGCTCGTCTTCAATGCGCATAAACAAGATCATGAAGCATACAAGCACCATCACATAGTTCACACTGAGTACTGGTCTCGTCTCGCCGCATATTTCGCTGAAAAGGTCCAACTTGAGGGCCTCTAAGTATTGCGCGATTCCGAGGACAGATTTCCGAGGTGTACAATGCAATAGGCTTGTCGACACTCCCAGTCCCTTGGCCTCGTATCCCTCTGGCATATTGGTCTTGATGCTTTCGAGAACCTTTGGGTCAATGGTTTGCTCTTGTGCAAGTGATGCCCACTGCGACGAAATCTCAATGATCGACCTATCATCCATCCCGATAGATCTGGCACGCTTGACCAAGTCAATATCTTCAAGGGCAATTCTTCCCGTGATAGGATCAGTGACCCTCTTGGCCTCAGTCAGACGAAAGAAAGCTAAGATCGAGGGGATAGGGATATCCTCATCTGGAACTCGATCCGGAACCCAGCGCGCCGCGTGGTAGAGACGTAGGAAGGATTTGGCCTGGAAGAAGCGATTGGTATTGCTATCCAGAAGACCGTGCACGTCCGTTGCATATTTAGCGACCTGTCGTCCCAGTTGCCGTCGCCGAAAAGTCTCTCGTCTAGACCTAGGAGGGCCAACCCGGGCTTCAAACGCTTTTTCAAAGCTGGATGTAGGTGCCTTTCCATTGGCATAAAAGGATTCCGCGAATAACTTTTCAAAGGTATCATACAACCCCACTGGCTGCGAGATATAACCCTTCTGGACCAGCATGTTATGGAGATGGATAACGCACAGGGGCTCGGGAACACGGTCCCACATGGCAAGGCCCATCCCATACGCCAGTTCAAGTGCTTCCATCAAACCAGCGCCGCAAAGGAATGGGGAATATTCCCACAGTCCATTGGCGTTTATGTGTGAAAACCTAGATGGGGGTATGGTCGCCAAGCCGTACATGTACTTGCTTTCCCCAAGCCAGTTCACAAAATCATCTCTTAACCCGTGGAGCATTGTGTTGATTTTCTCATGCCGCTGTGGGTCTCCATGAAGCATCGCATCCTTTTCAAAGCATTGGCTTAGTACCTCAACACCGGTACAGTATCCTGACATAGGCTTGTCCTGGTCACGGTCCATGAACAAATCAACGTCTCTTCTGGGGCGGAACTCAGAGGCCGGGGACCCCAGGACATGGCCTACCAAAATATGGAAAGACCAACCTCGAGACACCGTTAGGGAATCCACTATGCACTGAAGCTGGAAGACATGATGAGGAAGAATGCTGGACTGAATTTTAGTCCCAGGTTTCTGCACCGCAAAGTGGGTAATGTCGCCGGCGAATTCAGTGATGCCAAACAACCGTCGATGAAAGTGCCAAGGTCCGGCTTCAGACCAGTCAACGGTCTCGAGGGGAATTTTCTGCCCTCTTAATGTCCTGCGTTGCACAACAATTGAGGAATTGATGTTGACCAGGTCATACAACCAGTTGATCGTGTAAGACCGACGCCACCTCAAGCGCTGTTCTTTGGTCGCTCTTTCAAGACCCAACGTCGGGTCCCAATCCCGTATCTCTTTAGACATATTCTTGGTTGGCTTGCCACTGTGTGTCTTCTGAAAGTCCGTCATAAAGTCGACCAAGTTCTGATAGGAATGTATCAGGAACTCCTCTCTCACATCCAGCTCCGAGGCCTCGACTATATCACTACTACCGTCGGTACAGGTTTGATGAAGCTCCATCTGAAACATGCCTTGGGCCTTATCGGGATCACCACGGGTGATAGTTTTCATGATGGTCTCGAACGATTCATGCCCAGGGAAATCAACAAAAATCTGGGATTGGGTGTCCTTGATCATCGCAATAGCAATGTTCGACAGAGTCGCTGCGACCGCGCTGTTCAGGCCATTATAGGCCACGTCGCGCCAAACACCTTGCAGGTAATGGCGGAGCTCGATCCATTGTCTGACGAACGAGTAGGTCGCCATTAGATAATCTGTAATAATTCCAGTCTCATCCTCGATAATACGATAGCTTGCCAGTGGAACTTCGTCGAGGCATGGGGTAAGAGCCGCAGTCGCCACTTTTGTCTTAGGTTTCCGTGTTCGTCTGCCCTTCTTTCCTTTCTTGCCAGCCTTAGCCTTCGACCGCACAGTTGCCGTGACCTGCTCCTCGTCATCATTGTCGTCTTCATCTTCATCTCCCTGGTCTTCCCCGGCTGACACGTTCAAACTGAGAGTCGAGAATTTATTGGCAAAGATGATTTCCTCCTCGTCTTCGTCAGCCACGTTGATGTTGCTTTTCTGCTCCGAGAGCCACGACTCTCCTCCCAATGCATTGAATGCCTCGGTCAAACCATCGATCCAGTGTCTGTGTGCATCGTTACTCTTTTGGATATCTGGGTCTGGGTTGGAGGCGACAATTCTCAAGAACTGACTATGAGTGTCCCTCCTGGCCTCGATAATAGACTTGAACAGGCGGAATATAGTTGGGGGTATCGGCTTGATATATTTTGCAATAAGCTCTGACAATGACTTCAGAGTTGCCAGCGAGACCTTTCCTGTTGTGTTGATGGCTATCGAGGCCCCTGGTGCGCTGGTCTTGATGATTTGATTGGAAGTGTTGGTAATCCAATAAACCAGGAGTCTTTGGTCCCGCTTGTATTTGAGATATGTATTCTTGTCTGCCATTTTCTGGCCGTTCCACGGAAAGTGGGCCAGTTCCAACGGGCGATGGATGAGAGGAAGAGGATGAGGAACAATGAAAGAAAACACCAAAGCGGGGTTTCAAAGTGGCCGGGGCAACCCCCGTGACCTAATCTCTATAGACTGCATGTAAATACTAAATTCACTCGATCAGTAGAAATGCCCCTATTACCTTTAGAAGTACTCTTTATTGCCATCACGTGTTGGTACAAAGGAACTAAAGATCACTTTCTGGAGACCTCCAACAACCAAACCAAAGACCATGTCGTCTGTCTCCAGGAAGACGCATGGAAGTCAAGAGCCTCTGCAGGGTTTAGCTTCACAAACGGTCAATTACTGCGACTAATAATTATATTAGTAAACTACCTTATACAAGCCAGGATAGTGACACTTTCTTTGTCTTAGCCAAAGGAGCAGCTCGCAATCATCGCCAACGACCATAGCCTCGGAGATTGCACCACAGCGAGTCTCTCTTGGACAGGGAAACAAACAGAAGTAGCATAGATGCGCCACCGTAGCTAAGACTCGTTGAGACTGTTGGAACACGATTATGCTCCACAGTAGCCCGTTCCTGTGAAGATGTTGGTCAGAGTAGCGGTGGATCATCTGCGGGGCCATGGTCAACACAGAGAAGGATCTTCTGGGAAAGTTCAGGATTCGCCAGGAACATATGGCGCAAATCTCTGTGTGGAGATAGCTAAAACCCACGGGAAAGGGAATCCCCCTCGCTTGCTCGCTCCAGTAAAGGCTGTGGGCTGGATGAAACGTATAACCCTTCTGTCTCATCGTCTTCTTGTCCCCGCAATTCTGCCTCCTTCAGGACGACAGCTTTCTAGTCGGGTTTTATAACAGTGAGACGGCGCGTTATAAAGCGTGATCGGCACAAGCTGCGGTTTGCCGTACTCCATTCTCAACGCCATCTACCTGCCTATCGAAATGCTCCCCGAACCCATAATGGCCATCAACAAGGAAAAGACAAAGCTGCTTCATGGAAGGATCACCGCAGTATCTATCATGCACATACAGCCAACTACTTGACTCATTCAGCCGTCGTTGGATATCCACCATCGCCATGCTGAGGTTCAACGCCTTTAGTAAGACATCAAGTATGTAGACATGTATGCCTAGGATAAGGCCGAGGCCGAGAGAGCGGGCCGAGAGAACAAACCACTCCATGGCCCACGCTTGATAACCTCCGTTGCAGTTCAGGGAAAGCTTCTTCTTGGCGCTGAATCCTCTAGTAGCTGATTAGGAATGCAATACTACTAAGCAATCATGTTGGCGAAGAAAGAAATGTGTGATTCATCAGGGCTCAGTGATCTATGAAGGAACGACTGGCCATTGTCGTTGCTAATAAGAACAATAACTTCAGCTCATCACTTTACTCATTAAAGCCTCCCTGATTTTTTGCCGCGAAGATCATCATGGCTACGATTGCTGTTGCTGGAGGTACTGATGGTTTGGGCTTAACCATTGTCGAAGCATTGGCCGTCCATGGCGGACACGACGTGGTAATTCTGAGTCGAAAGGTAGCAACCAACCTTACTCCCATCATATTATTAAACGTCTCTAGTTAATCACACACAGAGTGGCGCTGAGCTCGAAAGGAAACTACCTTTCCGCCTCATAGCCGTAGACTACAGTGACGACAATAGCCTCGTGGATATCCTGGAGTTGAATAATATCGGCACGGTGATCACCACAATCAATGTGCTGGGCAATTCCTTGCCAGAACGCAACCTTGTCCGCGCCGCGGAAAAGTCTTCGAAGACAACGCGACTTATTCCGAGTACTATCTCGCCAAGTCAGTCTGGTTCTCGCCGATCCGCGGTTCGCCGTGCAGCACTGAAAAACAACTGAAGGGCTAACCTATCATTTGACCGCATAGGTCTATGCGGACACCTCACTTCTTGCCAAGACCAAATTCGAGGTCATTGAGGAACTTCGCAAGACGTCGTTGATGTATACGTCTATTATCTGCGGCTGGTTCGTGGATTATTATGGGACACCGCTCCTCCAATCCCACGCCCACCGCTACCCTATTTTTATCGATATAGCAAACAAACAGGCCGCAATTCTTGGATCAGGGAATGAGCTTGTTGCATTCACCCGGCTCATCGACATCGCCCGGTATGTGGTTCGGGCACTAGATCTTTCCAGCTGGCCAAAAGAGAGTTACATTATCGGTGATCGAGTCATTTTGCGCAAGTTTGTCGAACTCGCTGAAGCAGCGAGAGGTATGTTTAGAGCCTTTCTGCTCTGAAGTCACAACAGCATGTTGATTTTACAATGATAGGTTCCAAATTTCAAGTCACTTATGATTCGAGGGAGGACTTGGAAGCAGGGTGGCTCACAGACCTTCCTTGCTACTCTGCTCTCTACAACGCATTTGGTAAGGAAGCGGCGAGTGCATTACTCGAGGAGATTGGGGGGTGGATAGCCGCAGGGGAGCTGGACGTTAAACCTCCGTTTTCGCTGAACGAGGCATTTCCGGATATCAAGCCTATGACTGTTAAGGAATATTTGGATCTTTCATGGAGGGTGTAAACTCTGGTGACCGTTTTGGGAGCTTCCAAATACCTTAGTCAGTCGGTCAACGCGGAATTGAAGAAAGGTGACTCTCGCGATAGCTCCGGGCCAAGCCATGACAGGTTTAGTCTCTTGGATATATCATGCATTATAATCTCCTCTCAATATACATTACAATTCTGATTATTCTGCGCTTTGTAGTGCTGTTGGCGCTGTAATGTGTATCATATGATCCAGTATATTGCAGTATTTCCCTAGTGCTGACCAGGATACTAATGTTACATGTTATTATATATCTCTGTTCGAGACAGATGACTATCCAACACCATAGGCCAACCGCGTTTATGCTCAAAGTGTTTGTTTGTTCGCTTTACGCCTATCCATATATCATTGTCGGCTGTCAACCACTGGCTTGAGATATCCCACAAGGGTAAATTCCAGACCATTTTTCAACCAGAGTGTCCCTCGCTTTCACTTCAAGTGCACACATCTTTTATACAGTATATAATCTCCTTCAATTAAAGATCAAGTACATACGACCACAGGGTGTGGAGAACAGGGCTTCCCGTCCGCTCAGCCGTACTTAAGCCACACGCCGGGAGGTTAGTAGTTGGGTGGGTGACCACCAGCGAATCCCTCCTGTTGTATGTTTTTCTTTTTCTTGAAGAGTGGACTCGGCTTTTGCCATATTATTCCGGGGTACCCCGGACAGGCAATGCGGCGAAATTAGCCACACGAAGTTCGTTATGGTGTTTTGGTCATTGGCTCCTCCAACACGGCTCGTGCTCGGTCTAGCGCAAGCAAAGGGAACTGCAGATAGGCCTGGAAGAACAACATTGCGGTAAAATTGCAAGCTAACGGTATTACTTGGTGCAGTTCTGGGTGTGACACAGATGCATGGTTTCCAAACCTGTCATTCACTGCGATGTTGTTCATGACCTCTGAGATAATCTCGGCATAGTCATTCATAACTTGAACCTGGAACACATGTTTAGCCTTTGGGTTTATAGGAATAGTTGGAATGGAATATCAGAGCTACTTGTGTAGGCTTAATATGACAATGCCTTCTTTGAGACTTGTGACGCTACTCATATAGTGTTTCTGGGGCATTAAAAATTTAAAACCAAGGTTATTGTTCAGGGCAAAATGGACAGAGAATTCACGACAGCCACAAGGGTAATTATCTCAATGATGCTATTGAGAATGTCTTTTCCCAGATCCATTAGCTAATAACAACAGTCAAATGCTACGCATTTTCCTTGAATTATGATGTATTATACATTGCAGGGGTAGCTGGCGCCTAAACCTCAATCAGCTATCGGTTACCATTTCGGGACCCCGACGTTCGTATACGAGAATCCACAACAGAACATATATAGGAGTACATCGAGTACAAAATACAAACGACACCACGCCCCAACACCAAAATACAACCCATCCCCATTCCCAAATCAAAACGCGCAAAAGAGCTAACGCAAAATGCCAACCCCAAACCCCATCCCCCTCCCAACACTGGAAGCCTTCACGAAAAGGACGCTGCACCTCACGCAAGCAACGCTAACGCGCCACCCCAAAATCGAAGGCGACGATCATATGATCTTCACCATCAGCGAATCACCAGGCCATCTGTTACGCGTGACAAAACCCCGCGAAGACCGGCCCTTATCACTGGGGACGGAAATGCAAAGGTTCGACATCGCGGTGCGACGGCTCATCGCCGCGGAATACGCGGTTCGTGGGCTGTCTGGGGATATCATACCAAAGTCTGTTGGGCATGAGGTTCTCACTGGAGATGGGGTTCATGCTGTTTCCATGGAGACGAAGTTGGAGGGCGTTGGGTTGCATCGGGGTGGTTTGACTGGTCTGACTGAGAGGACGGTTGAGGGGTTAGTGGAGATGATGAGGGTTATGAAGGGGGTTGATCTCGAGGGGCTGGGGGGGAGGCTGAAGGATTTGGGGGTGGTTGGGTTTGAGGTTCCTTTTATTCCGTGGCCGGAGATTCGGGGGATGAGGGAGAGGGCGGTTGTTGCGTGGAGGAGGTTGGTTAGTAGGGGGCAGATTCTGGGGGATGACTATGGGGTTAAGGATGGGGATGATTTCGAGGCATTGGGTGAGAGGAAGACGGCATTTATAGGACGCGTGATGGATATGGATGATGAGACATCACGGCGGGTGCTCATTCATAATGATATTAAAGGAGAGCATATCCTGGTGGGCTCTGATGGTCGGATTACTGGCATACTGGACTGGGCGGATGCGGGCGTTGGATATCCGGCGACTGATATCGCGGGCTTGGTGTTGACTGTTGGGCCGCGGTTGGCTATCAGAATTGCGCGGGAGGTTGGGTATGCAGAGGATGAGATTCTTCAGGGACTGATACAGGCTCGGTGTGAGTGTGTTTTGCGGTTGGATGATCGATTGAATGGGGATGATGAGTTGACGCCGATTGATCTGTTGAAGGGTCAGCTTGTTTTGTCGATGGAAGATTGTGAACTTGTTGATTGTGTATGAGTGTTAGAGGAAGGGTGTACATAGAATTGCGATAGTATAGAGCTTATTAATGTGAGAGTTTGATATAGATAGTAAGTATCCTGATCAAAACTAGATAGAACAGCAGGAAAAACTATGATGAACTGGGCTTTAGGATATGTTACATATTAAGAGAATGCATCTAGATAGAGGTATCTCCATTAGTACAACACCATTGTAGACCATCTCTGTTATATCAAGAGTCATTCGTCTCAGACAAGTGTTTTAAATGACAAATTAGAAAGATTCTTGTGTAATTGAGGCAGTTCTAGTAACCGTATAAGTGCAAAACGAAGAAAACCTTCAGAAAACAAATCCATCCAAGAATGATCTAATGGCCTCATCTATGCGAGGTTAGACGCAATGACCAGTTCGATCGTTGATGGCCGAGATCTCCGCAAACAGTCAATATCCCTATATAGAAACGATCGGTCAGTATGCAGTAAGACTTCGTAAATGGGATATGATCTGCAGGCTGCAGCCCGCGCCATGAGCCACAAATATATGTGATGTATCTGAAGCCAAAAGAAAGATCACGGCTATGCGTTGGCGTTATGTGTCAGGGCTGCGGCACTCTAATTTTGTAATTCTGACTGCAGGCTTCGTCAACAGACAACAGAGATACACGTAACCCATGAACAAGCTTCAAGGCGTAGTCACACGCTGACGACAACTGCATTTCAGCTGTACCAGAATGCAGGTATGGATATTATTAGGATTGAGGCAACACTAACTCTGACGCGCGGTGGTGGTAGGCTTCTGCCATGTAGCGAGATTCTAGACGATCTGCAATGGGGTTAAACTTCATCTGCAAGGCCACCTCGCATCTGCCACAGCGAACTAGCTTCAGACATCAATGTTGGCCATGAATTGGTCGCTTATTTGAGGTAGAAAATAACGAGGTTTGTATTACACGATTATCAAGCTCAGTGAATTTTAGTACCCCGTTCTATAGAAATTTATATAGATTACTAGACTTATGATTGTCATATTTTCAGAGTTCGAGAGAAGGTTGTATCAGGAATCAAATAACCACCATAGCCTATCTTAGCTCACAGGGTATCACAGAGTTAACAAGAGTGTGCGACCGAGAATGAGCGTGTTAATAGAGCACTCAACACTGTGAAGTCATAACTTATCACCACACCACCGTCCGCCCTGGCTACTCTCAGGTATAGAGAAGAGTGCGACTAGTATGATCCCACAATCCAGCAAAGCGGATAAGTTCTAGTTAAGCGAATCATTTCGCGTAGGAAGTAGTAATCTGGAGGCTCATGGCCTTTGGACAGCCCATTCAGCAGGTTCAAGCAAAATGCCCAGCGACTTTATAGGTTGATTGGTAAAACCAAGCTGGAGGATCTGCCCGTTTCATGGCAAGGCCCTATGGATCAAGTTCTGCAGCAGCAGGAAAAAGCCGTAAGCAACCGGAGTCGGTCAGACATCTTGTCTTGACTCCTCATCATTTTCACAGAATCCGGATTTGCAATGTGCTGTGATTAGCTATCGCGTTTCCTCTTTCCTTAACCGCTCACTATCACAGAGCCGATCAGTGCATTGCAGTAGCTCCAAGCCCACCCTTCGCACGACGATCCGAGTGACCCAAAGAAAGTAATATCTGTTCACTTTAAAGATGGAAATGAGAAAACCATAGATCAGATTCATGTTCATGGAGATGGAACAGTGCGTAGATGGTGTTCCGCCCTTACCGTTTTCTTGACAGGGCATTCATCACAACACATGCTGAGATGCATTCAGCTCAGATAGAAGGAGTCTGGGGTACGAATGATGGTTTTCTGTTTAGTCACATCCTTTGACAGCTCGTAGTATGAATAATTGGTATGAAGCCGAAAAGAAAGCAAGCGACTCCACACTATGGTGACTTCAACCACGGATCTGATAGTAACTCCTTTGCGGAGGCGCGATCCTCAGGCCGCCATTGAAGCATTTAGCGCATAAAACAGAAAAAGAGATCTTGTTGTGGACCTTGTAGATTATCCTCCAGTTTCTCTAGGGCTATAAGGGGGGATCTCAGCGGCGCCCTTCCAATTCCCTTTACTTCATCGTCAGCTTCAACAGCCCCGCATATCAAACATGGATAGGAGATATACCGTCAATATCGAAAAACTTCATTGCATAATTGCTTTTTTGAAGCATATCTTTGGGCGGTGGCCCAAGGACTGCGATCATCTCTACAAGGTGATGGGTGTCTGAGTTGTTCTTCTCAGAATCTCGGGCATAGAAAAGATGCCCCTGCTCGAAAATATCCCACGCCCATAGAAGACATCAGCATCAAATAATCAATCCGACATGTCAGGCCTATTTACGAGAACTCCAAGATTCCAGATATCGATCTTCTCATTCCATGATATCCGGGATAAAACTTCCAAGGCTCGGTAAATCAATGGTTGTGTATCCTCCCACCGAGTACCTACTTGCGAGCGAAACCGTGCCTCCCCGAAATCCGATAATACAGGACGGCCGTGTACCTTGGGAATTCCGAGTTTTCGCGAAGAATAGATTGCCCGGTCCCCAATAACTTTGCAGGGGCTGGGATTACATCTCTCCGTCTCCTCAAAATCAAGCAGAATTGACTCATCTTCTACACTAAGCATGATATTCTTTCCTTGTATATCTAGATGTGTAAAGTCAATACCAAGGAGTAGGCGATTAAAGAGACAGAGACTACTTTACCTGTATGGATAATTCCAGCCTCTGTATGAAGGAAGTCGAGAGCTAGGAGAATATGAATCAGAGTTGGTTTAAGTAAGTTCTCCGGGAGAACTTTTGCTACCGTTCGATTACGTAGTTCGAATAGACTCATAGCCAAAGGTATATGTACAAGACACTGATAAGAGTTATCAGCAGATTTGAGTTGAAAGTCATCTAGCGCGCTTCGAACGAGAAAAGACCCCGTGTGACTTGAATTAAGTGTTGTAAGATGATTGTATATCTCTGTCTCTCTTTTACCATGGCCAGAATCATGCTCAAATATTCTCAATGCAACGTAAGCATGCTGCCTATAGCCATTTAGCTGTATAATTCAAGGTCCGTTGAAAAAGTACCTTACTGTAAGTCTCTACACAGCCATACTGTTGAGTATCCCCCGTAGCCTAATATTCCGACCACTTGGTATCTTGAACGAAAGACGTCACCGATTTTCACTGGGTAAAAGAGATCTGGCGAGTACCACCGCAAGGTTTCCTCTTCCAACTTTCCGGCTGGGTCAAGCCGGGCACCCAAGGGAGGGGGCGACAGGTTAGACGTAGCATTATCCCTTGAACTGAGACTAGGATATTGAGCAATACAGAAACAAAGAGGAATCTAGATCATGGATGGCGGGCGGTGAGGCCCCACATAGCTACCGAGCATTGTCAGTGACTTAGTGGGCCCCTTGCCGAGGGAACCATAACATTGTAAAATAATAGCTGAGCGCGAAGCGCTCTGCTATGAGAAGTGCAAAACCAGCTTCACATTTGCATTCATTCTGCCCATAAATGCTAAAGAATTTCAACTCAAAGAAGCCTGCTGTTCGCCTCAGTGCTGTGGTCTTATCTTTACACGTTTCTTTCAATATGTCATCGGATATGATATTCCTCCCTGAGTATACTTATGTAGAAAAATATATATATGTTGGTGACACATTAATGAGTTTTCGATTGAAAGCAGAATTCGAGAAATAAAGACAACAGAGAAGATTACAAGCTTCATTTTACAGACAATTTTCCGTGCTGTATCTTTATCCTATGAGACAAGTTCTTGTCCAGAATCCTGAATCATTCGGTCGGCTTCGTCTGCAATCAGAAGATCAACTACTTGCTGAGTATTGACCTGCGGTGTCTCTATTGCCTGCTGAATTACATACCCCGATGTCATGATTCCAAGAGTGAGCTCTTCAAATTGGTCTTTGCTTGATATTCAAAGCTTGACTTTGCGAATCCCAGCGATAGGCCTCCGCTATCTCAGGACTGGAAAATAACTAGCATCGTTCTACAATACAGAGTGCGCAAGAGGCATTTTACATTGTCACCTGCACGAAAGCCTCCCTTGGAGACGAGCCCAAGCAGATTGCCGCTAGGGGAGGACCGGTATGTATTACAGGACCCCCTCTCGGAGATCTGTCAAGGTTGTTCGATCACACACTGGAAGGACTCAAACTGCAAGGTTGTAGACTCGCAGAATGAGATCGTGGGATCGATCAGATATGACGGCGACGATATCGTAGAGATTGAGATATTGAGCTGTGTCATAATTGCACAGCCTAGTTCAGCCCAAAGCTGGAGGAAATTCCCAGGTGGCGAGGAGAAGGTGAAATGGGACTTGGACAATGTCCAATATATCCTAATTACTACAAGCTCCACTTCGGAAAGGCCGTGATTCAGGGGCAGTATCTGCGGGATAAAGATGGGTGCGCTGTAGCGGAATTGGTTCAGATCGCCTGAGCGCCGTGTAGATTTGCGCTGATATAGTATTCGTCATCAAGAACAAGGATGCTACTCTCTTGTGCGACCGAATTAAGCTTGACCTGTTCAGGGCTACAAAGCTGGGGTCTGATAGCTAAATGTGCTGGTCACACTTCAGGTATTCTCGTCATTATTGCTATTACATTTCATACACGCGTCTGGCATGGCGGCCGCAGATCCCAATCGGGTAGCCGTGAATAGCCACTGGGCACTGTAGTTCTACGCAGTGAATGGACTCCCTCGCTCGCATGTGTCATTGCCAGAAATCATAATCTCTTATTAAAACCAGAATTAGCTTTCTATTAACTATACTATCAAAGATACCATAATCTCTCTCTAAATATAAGGACCCCAACCAGCGTTGGGATGTAGTCCACATAGAATTTTCATCCCATCATGAGACGACCGTCAAGCTACTAATAGATACCAGTCAATCCGAATACCACGTTGAAATCGGGATAAATCACCTGAACTCACGCCGAGTACCCCGTATAATCCATAAATATGGGAATGTGCGGATCCCACTTTAACCTCCATGGGGCGAAAAAAGGGAAATGCCGATCTATACCAATTTACCCACGTGGGAGGGAGTATGGCCATTATTATACGTCCTCATTGGTAGATTCAGCCGGAACTCGTTTCCTCGGGAAAGTATTCCTTGAATCCATGGATCGATATAATCTACTTCGATATATTAAGACAAAGCGGTATGGTGATTTCGAATAAGCATCAATTGGAAATCACTAGCTTCATCGAAAACCCCAAGTGGTTTGCATGTGAGCTTTGCATGTTTTAACATTGCGCCAGGAACTTCAAGTTACTGTGTAGTATTGTTTAAGTAAGGGTTGCACCCGTTGATATCAGGGAGTGAGCGAAATTAACCCCCGATTGTGAATATTATCCCTTACGGTAATATGTGACTTGGAAAATTGCTTCTGTTTAATTATAGCCATTGCTACTGTATGCAGGTCGGTATGACCTGCATGCGACAACAACAAAAAGCTGCGACAGTGCTTTCTGAATCGACTCTTGGCTTGTATCTAATCGACTCAGTTGCTTATCGTGGCTGAGGTCTAGATTCATCATCACACAGATCTAATTTAGTAGATGCACTAAGGGGAACTATTGAACCCCGGCCGAGGAAAGCTCTGTGAGAACATTTGGAGATTGAGACACTTTCGGCTGCAGTTCGGCGACCACCTACCGAGATCGCAGTATCTCTGCAGCCTGGGTCTCTGGCCTCGTGTGGCTCAAGCGAGGGCTGCATGACTGGAAAGCTTGGGATTGGATCCTATGATAGTGTGGCTGATCGGTGTTCTCCGTAACTAGGCTACAGGTTTTTTGCTATGAGTTAGCATCAAGTTAGAATGGTTTATTCATGGCCAAGGTCCTTGATCGTGAAAAACGCCGGAAACTGTGACGTCTACTGCGTACTCGGACTTTGTCCGGCTTTAGGGCTGGTGGAAGAGGCCGCTGCACCGCCACAGTTCGTCCAACTTTTTTTTGTTTGTTCCCCTCCGTTCCCTTTTTTCTCTTTCTGGAGGGAAAGCGATTCCCGGCGATCTTTGTCTTTCGTGGAGAAGGAGAACTCGTATGTCCTGTCGATCGAACTCTGTTCCTTTCCGTCCGTGTTACTCCCTACCTTTCGCAACACCCTGCTCATTTGATACCCCCCCTACTCCGTACATGCAAATGTAATACCTTCAGTCTCAGTCCTTCTATTCCAGCCACCCCACATCGCTGCGGTGGCTGGAAACCGTCCCAACCGCCTGTGGGCTTGTAGATGCGAGAGGGGCTCAGACGAGAAACTCCGCGATAACCAGCCGAAACTACTAGAAGAAAATTGCACGGTGAACCGCTCTCAGCGCGCAAGACGACCACGGTTACGGTTGCCGTAGGCAATGGTGGAGGTTAGAGGGTGGCGGAAAAACAAGAGCTTTCTCCACATCATAAAGGGATTTGGGATGCGACCAAGTCGAGAGCGCCACTAAGAGACCCTCAGGCGGAGAGAAGTGTGGCTGGTGAGTCCGCTTCCTTTGCAAAAGTCGAGTCCCACTGCAGTAGTGATCCACAGCCCAACAGGATGGTGGGTGGAACGATTGGTGTCTATCGTTCAATTACGATCGGTTGGTCACGGTTGATCGGATCCACCGGCGATCCATTTCCTTTCAGTCGGTCAAGAGCGCGGATGTACTTGCCAGGTCCAATCCCGTGCGCGCGCAAGATCAGCTCCTTGATATTGGGCAGTCACCATGACGCTGCCTTTGACGTCGCTGGTCGTACCAAGTTCCTGTTTTCATGCAGGGTTAGTCAAGTCAACACAATGTGGTAGATGATGCTAATTCTAGAGTTCAACAACACTTCCACATCGTCATCACGTTCTTGCAGAGTGCATGGGACATGCATCGTTTGATTTCAGTATGCAAGAGGGGCCGAAAGGACGATTCCCTTAACCATGGGTCTTGCAAGTCTTGGGTTTTTCTAATCGGCTTTTTAGCCTATACCAGACCATCTCTTCCTAACCGAGAGCACAATACGGGAACTTCAACCACGCTGTTTCGCATTATTTCCATGGATACGATTATCAACACAACAAGGAAGGAAGGGGAAAAAAAGAAAAGAAAAAAAACAAAAAAAAAAAAAAA